TCCCACAGTCGCTGATCGAGTGCCCCGTCGATTATATAATCGATAAGTTCGCCACTCTCTATGGGTATGCGATTCGCCAAAATCTTCTTGCTATGGTTATACTCGCTGAATGATTCCCCGGTCTGCCACATTCTCTGCTCGAATTTTTTTCTTGGTGCTCGTATACTCGAACGATGGTCGAACAGTCGTCTCATCCTCTCCAAGAGATCCGTGGCGCTTAACACGATGTGCTCCGGGCAAGAGTTAAATCAGTTGAGGGCTTTCCTCCTTAGTCTCGAGCTGACCAACACCCTTAATGCATTATCATCGAGGTTATAAGTATCGCGCAACAAGTCAACCTGCTGCCTCCATCTCCAGAACTCGCCACCAGCGCATCGAATTCGCCCAACAAGTTTCGAAGGCCGCCGGTCTCTCCGCTGCTGTGGTCACTCATGATAGGACTTCGACTCGTCATCTGTCTTCTCAATTCTGTCCCTCTTCTCATCAATTCCAGCTCGCGTTGGAGCAAATCGAACGAGCTTAAGCTCGCAAATGGCGTCGCTATTCCGCGCATCATTCCGCCGCTCTTCTTCCTCGTCCGCAGCGTCACTCTCGCCGTGGGGCCCAACGTCGTCTCCGCTCGCGCACAACTCTTCTCCGCCACCACCGAGCGCAGCATTCAGAGCATCGGAGTCGTTTTCTCGCAAACGCAAGATCAATTCGGCGTTACGACCTCGTAGGAGTTAACGAAGCCACCTTAGATTTGCCTATCAGAAGGCTGACTGTGACGTGACCTGTCGTTGCAACAACTTTCAAATAAACTGCAGTTGCGTATGCGACGTTGGAAGCGTCGGAAAATCCGTGTAACTCGGCGCGACGTACTTCGAAACCGAATCCGGTCCATCGGGGAATGCGGAGCTCGCGCAGCGACGACAACTTGGTGTAGAACCTTCGCCATTGCGGGAGTAGGGAAGGAGGGAGCATGGAATCCCAGTCGAGCCCTTCTTTCCATAATCGTTGCATGAAGATTTTTGTTGTAATTGTGACAGGTGTGACCCACCCGAGCGGGTCATACAATCGGGCTATTGCGGCTAGAACAGAACGTTTGCTTTTTGGTATGACATCGTCCAAAGTGACTGCTAATTGAAACACGTCCTGAACGGGATTCCATGTCATTCCGAGGATCTTGAGTGTTTCGTCGGAGGATAAGGATTTGGAGCAGTAGCGTAGTAGGAAGATTTCTTGACCGCAAGAGCTCTTTAAGCTGAAACTTGGTTGACAGGTCTCCGACATCCTGGTTCCAAAGAGTGATGCTAAGAACAAGCCAAAAATCGTCTGTTTCGCCACTCTTGAAATCCGACTTGAATTTGATGCTAAACGATAGTTATATATAAGACATTAATGCTCTGAAAGTTTCAAATTGAGTCCACTCTATCTTCAAGATATGATGGGTAAAAATTCTGTCTCTCACGATATTCTTTCTCTGTGCCGCCTCTCTTTCTTCGGCTTGCTCCTTTGTCTGTTTCTTCCAGCTCCGTCTCGCTCTCTATCTATTTCGTTATCTATCTATCTCTCTATCTTTATCTCTTTCTTTCTCTCTTTCTTTCTAATCTCTATTCTCTCTGTTCCGCTACTCTCTATCGTTCTCTGTATCGTTCTTTTTACCTGTCTGCTCTCTATCGTTCTCTCTGTCCGTCTGCTTTCGCGCACATCTTAAAAGAGACGCCCCTTTTTCTCTGTGTTCCCTCTTTACATAGCTAATACATCTTCCTATACTAATACTTCTGACTTCCTAATAGATCTCTCTTCTACCTAACCGAAAATCATAATACGAGGGTAGTTTGATAAGTCAATGACTTTTTTAATAAAAGATATTTTTTTCGGCAAATAAGCGTTTTATTTCTCAACGTAGTCTCCTTTTAGCTCGATACATTTAGTCCACCGTTTTTCCAATTTTTTATTCCTTCCAAATAATAGGTTTTCTCAAGGCCCTCAAAATAGGCGTTTGTTTCAGTGATGACCTCTTCATTCGACCCAAATCTCTCACAGCCCAGCCATTCCTTCAGGTTTGGAAACAGGAAATAGTCGCAGGGGGCTAAATCTGGTGAATATGCTGCATGGGGTAGCAGTTCGTAGCCCAATTTATGGATTTTTGCCATGGTGACTACACACGTGTGCACCCGTGCATTATCCTGATAGAACAGCACTTTTTTCTTCGCCAAATGCGGTCGTTTTTGCTTCAAATCAATATCGAATCTGTCCAAAAGCTCTGAATAATATTCGCCGGTGATCATTTTACCCTTTTCAAGGTAATCGATGTGAATGATACCGCGTGCATCCCAAAAAACTGTGGCCATGACCTTGTTGACCGACAGACCCACCTTGGCCTTCTTTGGTGCACGTTCACCCGAAGAAACCCACTGTCTTGATTGTTCCTTGGTCTCTGGTGTGGTGTGATGGATCCATGTTTCGTCTACGGTAACGAAACGGCGCAAAAACTCGTTCGGATTGCGGCTGAACATCGCCAAACACTCCTTTGAAATGGTCACACGGTTGCGCTTATGGTCGAGTGTGAGCAATCGCGGCACCCATCGCGCGGATAGCTTTTTCATGTCCAAATATTCATGTAAAATGTGATGTACCCGTTCAGTTGAGATGCCTATAGCCTCAGCCACTTCACGCACTTTCATTCTCCGATCATCCAATATCATTCCATGGATTTTATCGACGATTTCTGGCGTGACGACCTCTTTTGGGCGACCTGAACATTCGGCGTCACTTGTGCTGGTACGACCACAACGGAACTCAGTAAACCACTTCTTAACCATTGAAATTGATGGTGCAGAGTCCCCATAGTATTTATCAAGCTTTGCCTTGGTTTCGGTGATGGTTTTTTTACGCAAAAAATAATGCTTAATCAGCACACGAAATTCACTTTTTTCCATTTTCGTTAAAATTCACGAGGTTGTCTGCTTTCAATGGCTGTCAAACACTAACTAAATGGCGCAACTTGCCCAAACTTGTACAGTAGTCTATTAATAGATGGCAGTTGACGGGAGCAGTGCTGCATTTAAAGTTACTGCGCGGAAAATTCAAAAAGTCACTGACTTATCAAACTGCCCTCGTATCTTACATTACCATCACAGATCCGCTGCTTGTGAAATCTTACATGAAATTTCAGTATCACAGCGGGAAAAATCATCACATCTTTGTGTTAGCAGATAAGGATAAACCTGGTAGAAACACGATTGTCGAATATTATTGTACTTGCGAGAGCGGTTCACGTACTGTCGGATGTTGCAGCCATATAATGACAATTATATGATATCTCGGCTACGGATAATACAATGGGATCGATATACCAAACCCTGATATATGCAATATGTCAATAACCATTCCTAAACAGCGAAATGAAAGGAGTATATCAAATCGTATACATGGTTCATGCAACGTGAGAGGCACGGGGACTCACGCTAATCAAATATCATCTGAAATGGGTCAGAACAGTTGATAAGGATGTTGATGCACAATGCGAACTTTGACTCATCATATGTTGAAGATAAAGAGTGGGTTCAATCAGAAACTTTCAAAGGATCAATGTCTTATATATTGGGTATACAAATTAGTTCGGTCCGTTTTCAAAAGATGGCTCCGGCTGTTATGAACGGTTCATAGTGACTGCCGATTTTGGCGGTTTCAGAGAGGTTAGACATCTGCCAATAATATTCAGTTTATATCGCTTTTAGTTTCATACAAAAACCTTGCTTTTTACAGTATTGAAAATGTCGAATTTTGTGTTAACCAAGCGGGAGGTTTTAATTTTCTGCTTTAATTGGAAGAAAAGTGCAGCTGAAGCCCATCAAATGCTTGTTGAAGTTTATGGTGACGCTGCTCCAACTGATAAATCATGTAGGGAATGATTTCGACGTTTCAAGGATGGAGATTTCAGCATCGAAGACAAGCCTCGCTCTGAACAGCCAAAAAAATTCGAGGACAAAGAATTAGAAGCATTACTCGAAGAAGATCAGAGTCAAACGCAAGAGGAGCTTGCAGAATCATTGGGAGTGACTCAACAAGCCGTTTCCGTACGATTGAGAGATATGGGAATTATTCAAAAACAAGGAAATTGGGTGCCTTATGAACTGAAACCGAGAAACATTGAAAAGCGTTCTTCATGACAACGCTCGGTCTCATGTTGCAAAAGTCGTAAAAAAATATTTGGAAACGCTCAAATGGGATGTTTTACCGCACCCGCCGTATTCTCCGGACATTGCTCCTTTTGATTATTTGTTGTTCCGAAGGATGCAGCACGATTTGGCAGGTCACCGGTTCACTTCTTTCGCAGATATCGAAAATTGGTTCCAAACTTGGATTGCCTCAAAAGACGAGTCATTTTCTCGAGATGGAATTCGAAAATTGCCTGAGAAATGGGAGAAAGTAGTAGCCAGCGATGGAAAATACTTTAATTGATTTGTTCATTCATTTTGTTTTGAAATAAATATATCTTTTAACACAAAAAAACGGACCGAACTAATTTGTACTCCCAATAACTATCATTTAGCACCAAATTCAAATCGAATTTCAAGAGTGGCGAAACAGATGATTTTTAGCGTTACTCTTTTGCATAAGAAGAGAACACCTTCAACTATTAAATCGAAAATAATTCCATTAGATTGAAAATTTGAACAGTCTTCAGCTAATTTAGCTAATACACGAATTTGCAATAGCTTCAAAGTTTTATGAGAAGACTTCCCAGGCCATTTGATTATTGGATGATAGATTCTCGGAAATGATATGTTTTGTCCGTTTCTCATGATGAGCCAAAATGGGTTCTTTTTACCCATTACTCTTTAATTTCTTGGAAAATATTTAAAATTAGAGACGGAAAATTTTATTCCAAATATAACATATTTTTTTCCAGAATTTTTCGCACGTTAATTTTTTTATAAATAAATTACTTGCATAAATTTTATAAATCTGACATGAAATTTGTAATTAACGATCTGAAAAGTCTTTATATTGTGTATCTGATTTATATTTATTCAGTCTTACACTAATTTACTCCTATATAGCAGTCATATTGGATCTGACATTTAAAATTTTTGAAATCTGACTTCAGATTCTTCAGTAATCTCAGTGGCCCAAATAACATAGAAATTAAAGATTTCACGGAATTCAGTCAAATAGAAAAAATGTGCCACACAAAGGGTTAAGCGTGTCGCGGTGAGATAATCGAAAGATAAATAGCATCGGGGAAACAATAATCACAGAGGCACAGAGCCATGATTAACGTTAATGGAATTATCCCTACCTACATAATTATGTACCATTTCGATCGCATCGAATTTTGACGGATCCAACTTTTCGGGAGAAAGAACCGTATAATGTGCAAATAACGGCAAGGAAGAACGGCGAGTGGAAACATTCGTCAAAAAGATCTATTACTTAGCATGGAAATTCGTAAAAAGATCCTGATGATAGAAAAATGATTATCCGTCGAACGGAACGTTAAACGTCCGCGATTGGAAAGGTGATGGTTGTTTGCACGATGACGCGCAATCGATCTCGAGGGAGACGAAATGAGAACGCGCTATCTCGCGACGATGGCACATGGCTTGCAACAGCGACTCGCTGCGGCGAGGCGGATTATTTACCACGGTAGATCTCTATGATACGGTCCTGGTCCACGTACTCGAAAATGTGAGGCGCGTCCATTAAGATCCCTATGGTGCCGGCACTAGTGACCAGGAAGAAGATGTAAAGTTGCAGTCGATCGATCACCATCGCGACGTATTTCCAGTCTTCTCTCGTCTGAAAGGAAAATGGAGGTTGTAGGAGAAAGAGGAAGATTAGGGGTGTGTCTCTTGGAAGCGTCAAGTCAGCTTATAAGCAATACTCGCGAAATCGACATACCTGTATGTACAAGTCCTCGTTTCTAAGATGCTCCGCTATGAACTCCACGGCCTCAGTAGCCTTGCTGGCTTCCGGATTAAGCAGCACCGAGTCTGAACTCTCGGACCCTCTTCTGTCGCCCATGCCCTCACCACCTCCGGCACCGCTCGAGCTGCTAGTGGTATGTTGCACTTTGCGGTTGATCTTGCAGTTAGGATGATGCAGGTCCGACAGCTCCATCACCTCCATTTTCTTCGCCGGCAGCTTTGGCACCTCGGTCGGGCTTCCCGAGTATGTGGAAGCTGGCAGTGTCACGTTTGGTATCTCCATCATCCACCTAGCGAAATCACGAATGTTCATACGAATGGCAAGGTGAGTTTTAATCACGTGCACGCAAGCTAATGATTCGTTCATCACGAGTGCGATTATCTCTTGTTGGTAATATTGCTTAAAAAAAAGCTAATACTCGCACCTCAGTCGTGTCTTTTTCGGTCGTTTCATCATCAGGATCCTCGGTAGATACTTGAGGAAGACCTTACGTATGAGTTGCGGCATCCTGTGGGTCCGAGGCCCGCGGAAATTCCAGTTGATGATGATCACAGTCACGAGGATACTGACGGTGTTCATGATAAAAGTGAAGAGCAGGTATTTGGCTATGAGTGGCAGCACCAGAGAGGTCGGCGGTAAGATTTTGCTGACCAGCAGGAGGAACACAACCAGAGATAGGAGAATACTAATGCCCAAGGTGACCTTCTCGCCGGCCTCCGCCGGCAGGTAGAAGACGAGCACGCAGAGGAAGGAGATGAGAACCGTCGGCAGTATCAGATTCACTGTGTAGAAAAGCGTCTTTCTGCAAGAAGACCTCGGGCATTTAGCAAACTCGAAAGTACGAGTTAGCTTCCAACAAGAATCTCTAGAGTTACGATTATAGAAAAACGCGAAGTCAGATACGAGATTGACGTAGAGATGATAATCGATGAATATCTGCAGACGAAAATATGCGAACCTGCGGATAATTATGTAGAAAGTGATGTCGGTCTCCGTGGGGAAATCACCTTGATAAGTGTTGAGATACGCCGGCACGCTGATGATGTCCCACGTGCCGCTCTTCCAGTAATCAGACAGGTCGACAAAATTCTTGTCGTTGTAGAGCGCGAGGGAGACCTGATCACCGTTGAAGGTCCATGAACCGAACTTCATGATGCACGTCTGCTGATCGAACGGGAAATACGTGACGTCGATTGTACATGAACTCTGATAGATCGCTGGCGGCACCCAGAGCACCTCACCGTTCGGGTATATGAGCACATTGCTCTTGTAACGGACCTCGTAATTGCCATCAGCGCTGTAAACGATATTCCGAATATCGTCACGTCGACCGAACTGATTTGATTATATAACAAATGAAAAAGAAGCTCGCTCTTTTTATCTGATAAGCAAAGTGGTCGCAATTTAAGAAAAGCTGAAGCTTAAAATGCTGAAGAATCAACATTTTCCGCTAATAATCGAGGCGATCGTAATGTAGGAAAAGCTGAAGCTTAAAAATGCTTAAAAATGTTGAGAAACTGATAGCTTTTTATTTTACTTTTATTTTTTATTTGATATGATGATGAAATAAGGAAATTAATAATTAAATTAATAATTTTAGCGGAAATTAATAATTAAATTAATAATTTTAATAGATATATATGACAGATTAACATGGAAAGCGCCATTCCTAAATAATAACAACGTTGCTAAACAATCAACGAATATTTCTTCGCTCTAATAAATATCGTCACGTCGATCGAACTGATCAGATTGTATGACGAATGAAAAAGAAGCTTTTTCAACTAATAATCGAAGCAATTGCAATTTAAGAAAAGCTAAAACATAAAATACTGAAAAATCAACATTTAATTTCCATTGATAACACAGCTCCACAAAAAAAAAGTGGTCGGTACCTAAAACCGGACAAGTATATTCTTATGTATTTTGATCCGCTGAATCCGAATCTGAGGTCAGAACTGGACAATTGCTAGCTTGATCGTCCCTGACCTCAAAAAACTGATCATAACTTCACTTAACAAAATTAAGCTGTATATGATTGAATTCAGTTTAAAAAATGCTACAATTCTTGTTATTACAAAAATTTTCAATTTGCAAAAATAAAGATGGTGGGAGGGAGATATAAAAAAATATAATATTTTTAAGAAATCTAACTACACAGTTGTAAGGAGCGTCAAAAACCATACTTGGTTCTAAAATATTGATATCCCTTCGGATAGTTTCGACCCATGTATAATAGCGTCTTGTACAACTCGAGAACTTTAGTGCGCTGTGACATGTCACGTAATAAATCTGGACTCAGCTTGAATTAACTTTTATCTGAAATATTTTTTTGTATAGTTTCTGAAATATACTCTCTGAAAACCAGATATACCGATCTTATAAGTTTACCTTGTAGGTTAATTAAACCTTGTAGGTTAATTAAACCTTATAGGTTTACCTTATAAGGATAATTTTAACCCCTAAATATGATATTGGATAGGTATAAAAAAATATGTGTCTCTTATTTTTAGCTACTCCACACATATAATATATATATATTATAATATATATATATATAATATTATATAATATATATATCAGGTGTAATAAAAAGAAATCCATTATTTTTGCATGAAATTGAAGGCTTTAATTACCGTAGTTAGAATGATCCGATTTAGGTCAAATATGCGCCGTTTTGTTCGATAACTTGTTGCCATTTTGAAGGTAATTTCATTATGCCTCTCTCATAGAAGCCCTCATCCCTATTGGCAAAAAATTGAGACAGTCGATTTTCACAAGCCTCTCTTGAAGCGAATTTTTCACCAGCAAAATTGTTCGCCATGGACAGGAACAGATGGTAATCACTTGGTGCCAGGTCCGGACTATAAGGTGGATGCATAAGAACCTCCCAACCAAGCTCCCGGAGCTTCTGGCGAGTCACTATCGATGTGTGTCTGGCGTTGTCCTGATGGAACACAATTCCTCTCCTATTGGCCAAAGCTGGCCGCTTCTGGGCGATTGCTTCCTTCAGACGGTCCAATTGTTGACAGTACAGTTCCGAGTTAAGAGTTTTGCCGTAGGGGAGCAGCTCATAGTAGATAATTCCCTGCCAATCCCACCAAATACACAGCAAAACCTTCCTGGCCGTCAATCCTGGCTTGGCCACCGTTTCCGCCGGCTCACCGCGATTCGACCACGAACGTTTTCGCTTGACGTTGTCGTAAGTCATTCACTTTTCATCACCAGTGACCAACCGCTTCAGAAATGGGTCGATTTTGTTGCGATTCAGCAGCGATTCGCAGATGGAAATTCGGTCCATGAGGTTTTTTTTCGTTAACTCGTGTGGCACCCATACATCGAGCTTCTTTTTGTATCCAGCCTTATTCAAATGGTTCCAAACGGTTTTTTGTGCAATCTTTAGCTCTTGGGCAATCGAAACAGTGCTTACATGACGGTCGGACTCGATAATGTCCATGATTTTATCGATATTTTCGACAATTGGCTTTCCAGTGCGTGGTGCTGTTCCGGTAATTTCGATATCTTTGATATCGAAATTACCGGAACAGAATCGACGAAACCAAAATTGCGCGTAATTGGCTGTTACAGTATCAGGACCATAAACACTATTCAAATTTTCAGCCGCTTGGCTTGCGTTTTCGCCTTTATCGAAGAAAAACTGTAAAATATAGAGTATTTTCTCTTTGCTAGTGTCCATCTTTGACGCGCACTCAAACAAAACTGAGTCAACTAATCACAAAACTGTCAGAAAAGTTTTTTTAGTACGAAATCTCATCTTTCTAACGCCATCTAGTGGAGCTCGATCGGACTTATACAACGCGAGCTACAGATAACTAAAGCCATCTATTGGAAAAATAATGGATTTCTTTTTACTACACCTGATATATATAATATAACATATATAATATATGTTGTGGAGTAGCTAAAAATAAGAGACGTGTATTTTTTTATGCGTGCCCAGTTTCTTATTTAAGGGTTAAAATCACCCTTACAAGGTATATGGGTATACCTGGTTTTCAGAGAGTATATTTCGAAAACTATAAAAGAAACAAAAAAATGTTTCAGATAAAAGTTGTATGGTTTTTGACGCTCCTTACAACTGTGTAGTTAGATTTCTTAAAAATATTATATTTTTTTATATCTCCCTCCCACCATCTTTACTTTTGCAAATTGAAAATTTTTGTAATAACAAGAATTGTAGCATTTTTTAAACTGAATTCAATCATATACAGCTTAATTTTGTTAAGTGAAGTTATGATCAGTTTTTTGAGGTCAGGGACGATCAAGCTAGCAATTGTCCAATTCTGACCTCAGATTCGGATTCAGCAGATCAAAATACATAAGAATATACTTGTCCGGTTTTAGACACCGACCACTTTTCTTTTTTGTGGGGCTGTGTAATAGAAGTGATCGCAATTTAGGAAAAGCTGAAACTTAAAAATTCTAGGAAATCGAGAAGTTTTGATTTTATCGGTGTGATGATGAAATAAGAAAATATTTTAGCGGATATATGTGTGATAAATTAACATCAAAAGTGACGTTCCTGATTAATGACAATAGTGCTAAACGATCAATGAATATTTCTTCGCTCTATTGAACATCGTCACGTCGGCCGAACTGATTTGATTGCATGACGAATGAAAAAGATGCTCGTTTGTTTTAATTGATAACCAAAATAATCGCAATTGAAGAAAAGCTAAAGCTTAAAATGTTGAAGAATCAACAGTTTCCGCTAATAATCGAAGCGATCGCAATTTAGGAAGAACTGAATCTTAAAAATTCTGGGAAATCGACAGTTTTTGATTTTACTGGTATGATGATGAAGTAAAAAAATATTTTAGTGGATGTGCGCGACAGATTAATATCAAGAGCGACATAATCAGGCACGTCGCTTTTACTAATAAAAACGGCTCTAAAGCCGTTGTTATCAGAGCGCTAAAAAATAAACGAACATTTCTTTGATGAATATGTGCAAGTAACATGTTCACATACTTATTAAACAGTACTATGTCCGGTTTCCACACTTTGTCGGGCGGTAACCTGAGGACGCCGATTCCGCCGTAATCCGCTTCGTCCCACTGCAATTGATAGTCCATCCACACGAATCTCAGCCATACGTTCGACTTCATAATCTGGTTCTTTTCGTTCTGCAAAAATTGACGACATTTAGATAAAGAGAAATTAAACAGAGAAAGAAGATCGCATGATCTAATACAGTCTACACGGTCGAAACTTTCGGCCTCCTTCGCCGTCCGACGGATATTACTTCCCAAACGCGTCAAGGATAAGTAGGACGAGATGTTCTTACCACGTTGATCAGTTGCACGAAGGCGAGGCCGAATCTCACGTGTACCTTCTCCGTCATGTTCTGCACGGGCCGAATGAGTTTATTGTACCCTCGGAACAAGTCTCGCACCAGTCGCTCCTCATCCTCGGAGCACAAACCTGCAAGCAAGACGAGCAACACAATTAGGACAATTAACAAGAAGCGAGCTGCATTCCTGCTCGCACGAATTCGGGAAACTCGCGAACACACAACGTTCTTCCGTATATGCGCTCCAGTTGACTCATTCTGCCTGAGCTGCGTTCGGCGAGCGCGCTGTCAGCACTAAAGCATCATCCTATCTTTATCAGCCATTACATATATGTATCATAAAGATGAAACGCGCTAATAATTTTAATAACGCAATTCTAGTTGTTGGAAAGTGATCTGTCACTGCTACATCTGCTACGGCACGACACCATCCCTCTAGTACGTTTCACGAGTTTGCTTAGGCCTGAAGTCGACAGGAGATTCGGTAGAGATGGGCGGTGCTCTTACCGACGCACAGGATCGCCGAGATCAGGAATAGCCGCGCGATATACAAGCAGAAATACATGTTGGATGGGCTCGTCGTACAGTGGGAGCGAGTCCCACTGGAGTTCCAGCGTGTACAGGGCCGATAGCGCCGACAACAGCAGCACCACCACCGCCGCCTTGTTCAACGCCAGAAACAGCACAATCTCCGTCACCACTGCCGTCGTCACCAGCCTCGTCACCAGCGTCGTCACTGCCGCTACCGCCTCCAGCGTGGATCAATATGGAGCGCAGACTCGGACAATAATTGTATTTCCTTCCTCACAGTCTAGCACGTCGGACCCACCCTCGACGGGCGGCTGCGATCTTAGTCGTCGCGCACTTCCGCGATCATCGAAAGCTCTTCGTTGATGATGATCACCGGGAACTTGCCGTGCGATGGACGCGTCGGGAGAATCGCGAGAACCGCTCGAATGGTTCGACGCGAGATTTTCGACGCGCCGGGTTGGACTGAACCATCCAGACGGCTTCGCATCCAGGGGTTGCTCCCTCTCGTTGCGGATGCACTGTTTTACCGAGCGATTCTGGAGTATCTCGCGGATGACAGAGTCGTGTATAGGGTAGCGGAGTTCCACGTAGATTTTTGGAGTCGCTGCTGTGAAGCTTTCGCGGAGGCCGCAATCCGATACATCTCCTGTTTTGTCGCATTATTTCCTTTTTTCAGCTAGGACCTCTAAGCACAGTCCGAAGGATTATTCTCACACACAATTGTATATCCAAGGTGATTCAAAATAAGGTTCAGGACTTTAAAGGCAGATAATATTCATAAATTGGAGAAAGAAAGTCCTAGTAAACATGGGTCGAAAAATTAATATTGTCAAGGTTATAAACAATTTTTTTTCTTTATTTATTCTAATTATATATTTATTTATTTTAATTTATTTATTTTAATTTTTTTTTATTTATTTATTTATTTTAATTAAAGCGAATGACTTATTCGCTTCTGGTGCACGACCGCACATGAAATGCATTTCTGTCGTTTCTTGATTAGAGTAATATGATGTCACTATGAATAGCTCTTGTAACTGTTCACTGTTCACTGTTTGTGATAGCTCTCTGCAACTGTCCACTGTTCACAAGGATATGTGACTAACAATTGCTTGAGGAAACATGTGCATAAATGAGAAGAAAATAGATTTGTATTCAGAGCAAGAGCAAGAAAACTTTTTTTAGGGACTCCTTTAAAGCATGCTGCTCCCTTCGCCATTAAATGACATAGACAAATTATATCAGAAAATACAAAAACACCGGGACCAAGTAAGCCACTTGCTTCAATTAAAATAAATAATTGTTCATAACTCCGACAATGTTAATTTTTCGACTCGCGTTTGTCGGGACTTTCTTCCTCCATTTTATGAATATTATCTATCCTTAAAGTTTTGAATCTATTTTTTTAAACACTTTGCATAGTATAATTAGATCACGTACTTCGCAGTGATTGCACCGTAATTGTTAAATTATAATTATTGTAACTATTGAATATCTACATTTGTATGGCAACAACGATTTTCGTGTATTTGTGGCAACAGTGGATGCAGATGGCTCGCTGGTTTAATTCGGGAACGATTGATGTACTATTTCGGCGATTTTGCACGCTATCGAAGTGATCACAAGGGAGGAGGAAGCGATTTTACATACCACAAATTATCGTTAAAATGGTATTGTTTTGTTCGATCTTCCGTGCGACGAGGATTACCCGATTTTATACATTCCGTGCTGCGCGTAAACTTTTGGGCTGCGTAGTTGGAAACTTGCTTTGAGCAAAGCCTTGGCGAAGTTGCAATTATGAATCATTTGGGGACATTTCCTAACTTTCCGGCGACATATATACCACATCGCGGCGAAACGGCAATATTACGCACAAGCGGTCGGAATTATTCAGAAAATATTTCCGGAACTTTCCTTACGCATTAGCCCTCGTTATCATGTATAATATACGAGGGTGGTCCGATAAGTACTTAGCCTACAAAAGAAAAACGAAAATTTTGGAAAAGTGGCGATTTATTTCTCAACATAGTCTCCTTTTAGCTCGATACACTTGACCCAGCGATGCTCCAACTTCTTTAACCCGTCTGAAAAATACGTTTTCTCGAGATCTGCAAAGTAGGCCTCCGTGGCGGCGATGACCTCCTCATTCGACTCCAATTTCTGCCCGGCGAGTGACTTTTTCAAGTTTGGAAACAAAAAGAAGTCGCACGGGGCCAAATCTGGAGAATACGGTGGATGGGGCAGCAGTTCGTAGCCCAATTCGACCAATTTGACCGTGGCGAGGGCGGAGGTGTGAGCCGGTGCGGTGAGCATGGTGGAAAAGCACTTTTTTCTTCGCCAAATGGGGCCGTTTTTTTGCAATTCGGCGTCGAATCGGCCCAATAATTCGGCATAGTACAGCCCTGTGACCGTTTTGCCCTTCTCCAGGTAGTCGATGTAGATCACACCTTGTGAATCCCAGAAAACGGTGGCCATCACCTTTCCGGCCGATAGGACAGTCTTCGCCTTCTTCGGAGCACGTTCGCCGGGTGAAGTCCACTGTTTCGACTGTTCCTTGGTCTCTGGTGTGTACCAGTGGATCCATGTTTCGTCGACGGTCACGAAACGACGCAGAAACTCCTTCGGATTGCGCTTAAACAGCGTCAAACACTGCTCTGAAGTGGTCTCACGGTTGCGCTTGTTGTCCGGAGTGAGCAAACGCGGCACCCATCGCGCCGACAGCTTTCTCATGCCCAAAATTTCATGCAGGATATGACCCACGCGGTCTTTTGAGATGCCTACTGTCTCAGCTATCTCGCGCACCTTCAATCGGCGGTCTGCCAATACGAGATCGTGGATTTTTGTCATGTTATCCTCCGTGGTAGCCGTTTTCGGGGCACCTGGGCGTGGCTCATCAAAAACCGACGTGCGACCACGTTGAAACTCGTTAAACCAATTTTTCACAGTCGCCATCGAAGGAGAAGAGTCACCGTACACAGCATCCAAGCGCTCTTTGATTTCGCTGCGCGATTTCCCTTCCAAAAACAAGAATCGAATCACCGACCGATATTGCTCTTTTTCCATTTTTCTAAAATCCGCGGACACGCCCGCTTCCACACGCGGTCAAAACAAAACTACGAGTCCGATTCGGCTGAAATTTCGACAGTAGCCGTCTACGAGAATGTACTACACGATAGTAAATTTCTCTTGCGATAGTGGCGCCATCGGGCGGTGAGGCTAAGTACTTATCGGACCGCCCTCGTACATCACGTGGGCGTGCCGTGCATTACGGTGAACGAACGTTCATCGATCATGTAATTGTGCATTATTCGCACTGAGTATACTATATTATCGCTAATACACTATGATATTATTGCTTAATCTTTCTCCGACGAGATATTTAAACGTCTCGCGCCCGCGACTCCCGCGGACTTCACCAAATTGAATTTTAAATTCGACGTTATTTACATTTCTATTAGCTCGTTATCCATGCATTACCTTTTCATAGGACGCGATAATCGGATGGAACTCGAAGCGGAGGTCAGTGCAGCGCACGCAGAGATTTTACGACGGCGGCCGATATAATCGAGGTACAAACTTTGTTAAAATAATCCATCAACGTTGTTGTCACTGGAAAGAGACTTCTAGCGATCTCATATAATGGTTATTCTTTTCTTGCTCAAACAGAAACTTTTCTCTCTTTCTTCTTTTGGCTACATATACCGGATGTTTCAGACCACCCGGGTTTTTCGTTAACGCGACGTTTTAGAGAAAAATATTTCAGACAAAAGTTGTAGGGCTTCAAAGGATCTATTTACAGACGCTATGAATTGACCTTGGGATAACCTTGAAAAGTCCAATCAAGGTCAACATAAAAATCTTAAATGGATACCCCAATTTTTTATTACATCATCTTTTTCCAGTGATTAATTTGAACAACTTTTGTCTGAAATATTTTTTTATTTACCTAATATTTTTTGAGATATTTAAGAAAAACTTGATAACTTTTTCAATATTTAACTCACGATATCTCGCTAACTATTTGTCAGAAGAAAAAGTGGTACTAGACCTTTTTGCCCTATTTAGTCTCAAGAATATATTTTTCCAATAGCGCTCTGAATTTGGTTACTTTGATGATTTTGAAATTTCCAAAAATCAACAAGTTAACAAAAGTCAGGGCACTATTGTAAAAATATATTCTTGAGATTAAATAGAGCAAAAACGTCTAGTACTACTTTTTCTTCTGACAAATAGTTAGGAAGATATCGTGAGTTAAATATTGAAAAAGTTATCAAGTTTTCCTTAAATATCTCAAAAAATATTAAAAATGCGAACCCTCTGGCGGACGTCCATTAACCTTAAGACTGATTCTAAAATTATGGAGGAGAGAACCAATCATTTAGTTTCAATAATTTCAATAATAATACAGGGTGGCAGCTTTCCGTGGGCCATCCGTGGTAAGTAAAAAATGTTTCAGACAAAAGTTGTTCAAATTAATTGCTAGAAAAAGATGATACAAAAAAGATGTAATAAAAAATTGGAGTATCCATTTAAGATTTTTGTTAATCTTGACTGGACTTTTCAAGGTTAACCCAAGGTCAAATTCATAGCATTAGTAAATAGATCTTTTGAAGCCTTACAACTTTGGTCTGAAATATTTTTCTCTAAAATGTCGCATTAACGAAAAAATCGGGTAACCCGGGTGATTTGAAATACCCGGCATATCGATACGTGTTAACGTCTTCATAATAATACAGGATGGCCCACGGAAAGCTGCCACCCTGTATTATTATTATCGAAATTATTGGTAAGGACGTTCGCCAGAGGGTTCGCAGTTTTATTTTGGTGTAGTAGAAGCAAATCTGTGCGCGTCAAAATGAATAATCTGACGACGAAAGGAAAGGTCTATCTTATCGAGTGTTTCTTTTCTAGAGGAAAAATATATAGTAGTGCTTATAAGAGGTTTCGTACGATATACGGAACACATAAAATTACGAGTGAAAACACACTGAAAAGGTTAAAATTCATTAATTATTTAAACTTTGGCGTTGAGTCATTCCATTTTTCGGCAATAAATCTGCATTAAAATAATGTTTTGTATTGTTTTTAATTTTATGTAATATGGAACTATGCAAGACCGTAAGCACAATCTGCTAAGCCTTCTGTGCCTGTAGCTATTGAAGAAAATATTGGAGAAGTGAAAAATTATTTTGAACAAAATCCAAATGTTTCCATTTGGAAAACCCAACCTTTTCAAGTGTTGAAAACAACGGTACACGGCATTTTAAAACATTTTCTGAACATACGAGGGTGGTCCGATAAGTACTTAGCCTACAAAAGAAAAACGAAAATTTTGGAAAAGTGGCGATTTATTTCTCAACATAGTCTCCTTTTAGCTCGATACACTTGACCCAGCGATGCTCCAACTTCTTTAACCCGTCTGAAAAATACGTTTTCTCGAGGTCTGCAA